ATGTGTGTGGTGTGCATGGGTGTGGGTGTGTGGCGTGTGCAGTGTGTGAGCCTGTGCATGTGTGTGCATGCACGTGTGTGTGTGGTTTTGGGGTGTATGTGTTGTGTGGCTGTGTGTGTGTGTGTGTGCACATGCGTGTGTGGGTGTGCACGTGCTTTGGTGTGGGTATGTGTAGTGTGGACCATGTGTGTGTGCACGTGCCTGTGTGTGCATGTGCATGTATGTTTGTCTGTGTGTGTGTGTGTCTGTGCATTTGTCTGTCTGTGGGGGGGGGAGTGGGGGTGGGGGTGGGCTGCATGCTCGTGTGTGTGGTGTTGGGGTGTGTGTGGTGTGTGTATGTGTGTGTGTGCATGTGTGTATCTGTGCATGGGTGAGTGCATTTGTGTATGGCGTGCTTGGGTGTGTGTGGTGCGTGTGTGTGCACGTGCATGTGTGTGGTGTGGGGGTATGTGTGTGGCTGTGGTGTCTGGCTGTGTGCGTGTGTGTGTGTCTGTGCGTTTGTGTGTATGTGGTGTGCGTGCATGTGAGTGTGTGGTGTGTGCCATGTGTGTACAAGTGCACGTACGTGTGTGTTTGTGCGTGTGTCTGTGCGGATGTGTGTGTGTATGGTGTCTGTGCGTGAATATGTGTGTGCACACGCGTGTGTCTGTGTATGTGTGTCTGTGCGTGTGTGTGCATGCATGCATGTGTGGTGTTGATGTGTGTGTGTGTGGTGTGTGGCTGTGTGCGTGTGTGCATGCACGTGTGTGTATCTGTGCGTGGATGGGTGCGTTTGTATATTGCATTCCTGTGTTGTTTGCCTATACTCATCCTTTGTCATTTGTCCTCGTTTCCATTTTGTATATGACTCCTTTTTTATTTTGAGATCATGCAAGATCTCCTGATTGATCCAAGGCGGTCTTTTGCCGTATTTTCTATCTTTCCTACACATCGGAATAACTAGCTTTTGGGCCCTTAATAATGTCCCTTTGAAAAACTGTCAAATCTCTTCAGTATTTTTATTGTCTAGCTGTACCTCTATGTACCACCTACACAAGCTTTTGGTGTGATAGTGTGATACATTGAGAGCACCTCTCATCTATGGATTTTTAATACCACGTGTATTTATGTCCGTAAAGTACAATATGTACAGTAGCTTCAGAGAGGTAGCTGAGTTAGTCTGTACAGGGTAAACTTAAAAAACAACAAATGGTCTGGTAGCACTTTAAAGACTAATTAAACATGTAGATGGTTTCATGAGCTTTCATGGGTACAAAACACCCACGTGACATTCTCCGGCCTGACTTACGCAGGACATCAGACCAGACGATCAACACGGTCCCTTTGTACCTTGTAATCAAGGAAGCTGTGTCGTGCGGTGCTAATGCAACCTGCCAGCACAGAGCTCTGCACCTGTCCCGGGAGCAAAGGCAGTGAGGAGCCGTTTCCGAGAGTTGTTCCATGACCCGGGCAGATCAGGCATTAGAAGATCTGTCAGGGTGTGTCTAGACTACTGAGTTTTGTCGACAAAAGTGGACTTTTGTCGGCAAAACTATACCTGCGTCTACACTACCGCTGAGTTCTGTCGACATAACGTCAACAGAACTCAGCAGTTTTGTCGATGCTGGTAAACCTCATTTTACGAGGCATAACACCTTCTGTCAACAGAGTTCTGTCGACAGAAGGTGTTATTGCCTGTAGGGTTGCGTCTAGACTACAGGGTTTTGTCGACAAAGCAGCTTGCTTTGTCGACAGAACTGAATGTGTCTAGATGCTCTATGTCGACAGAAGTTTTGTCGACGGTATCTGTCGACAAAACTTCTGTCGACAAAACCCCGTAGTCTAGACGTACCCTCAGAGTCTGACCTAGGAAGCTTCTCAGAAATGCTGGGGAATATTCTTTAGAATTAGGCCATAAGGAGCCTTGGAGAAATGCATCCGACAGCCAAACAAAGCCCACCCCAGCCCTTGCCAGAACCTCACATGCTGCACTTGGCCGGCATGGCGACCAAGGGAGACTCCCACAGGAACTTTTCTGTAGTTTGGAAAGTTGCCAGTATGAAAATGCTGATGAAAATCCTTAAATTTCCCCCGAAAGGAGGTGAATGTTCTACTAAATGTTTCTCGTTTCGATTTGTTTTTTTCCTTTGACATTTCAAAATTTGAAGATAGATACAACTCTGGTCATCCCCTGATTTCTTTTGTGTGTTTGGGAGGATCTACCCTACACAGATGTGGATACAGAACTCCCTGGTCATGTCCAGGGCTCGACAATTAACGTAATCTACTTGCCCATGGCAAGTAGATTTTAGCCCGGCGTAGCCGCGCAGCGCGGTTTGTGCATGCGCAGTGCGTGGTAGCATGCCTGGCAAGCAAGGCTCGCCACCGCTTGGCAAGCCTTGGTCATGTCTGCCTATATGGATTCAGATTCCACTCTGGTATCCACTCAGGGCTCTACAGATATAAACTCCAGATGGTACTTTGACTAAAAATGCTCATTTCATTTTTCAAAGACTCTATCGAGAGAGTGCTGGAAAATTCCGTTCTATTTAGATTTCGTTTTCATAACGAATGTTTCTCTTCTGATTTTCCTGGCTGGTTTGCATCATTATGCAAATGGCAAAACCTCAGTTGAAAAAGTGAGGGTTGTGAGGAGAAACTTCAACTGAACGTGCATGAATTTACCCTGTTCATACTGTGTCTACTAATTTTCCTTTTCATTCTCTAAGACAGTGTTTCTTAAACTTTTTAAGACAGAGGAACACCAAACAATAATTTATTTTTTTATGAGTAACACCAAGGATTTTTTGGTGAGGAAAAAAAAGATCAGGGGTTAGAGGGAAAAAAGGTCTCCTGCCCCTTTAAGGGTGGCCATTTTGATTTCTGTTGTTCTCCACGGCACACATCCAACTTCCTCGCGGCACACTACTGTGCCGCGGAACACGGTTTAAGAAACGCTGCTCTAATATCTCCGGCTGCGTGAGAAGATGGCTTTCCCGACTGTGTTTCGAAAGGCTCCCTTCACCTCTTTGTTCCTCAGACTGTATATGACGGGGTTCAACATTGGTGTCACAGCTGTGTACATAAGGGCTATCAGCTGATTGCTTTCGGGGGTGGAGCTGGACGTGGGGTTCAGGTAACTCAAAAGGGCCGTTCCGTAGAGCAACGTCACCACCGTGAGGTGGGAGGAGCAGGTGGAGAAGGCATTACGCCTCCCTTCTGCCGATGGCAGCTTGAGGATGGTGGAGATGATGCGGACGTAGGAGAGGGTGATCAGTAGGAAAGGACCCATCACGAACAGCACCAGAATGGAAAAGTCCACGATCATGTTCTTCCACGTATATGTGCAGAGCATCTTCTGTAACGGCTGGGCAGAGCAGAAATAATGGGGGATCTGGTGGGTTCCACACAAGGGTAGGCTGAAGAGCAACACAGTCTCAGCTACGGCCACCAAGATACCGATGAGCACCCGGTCACTCAGGATGGTGGCATAGTGCAGCGGGCGGCAGATGGCCATGAAGCGGTCGTAGGCCATGGCCGCCAGGAGGCAGCAGGCGGTTTGGCCCGTGACGGTGAAGACGTACAACTGGAGCGCGCAGCCCGTGAGGGAGATGGTCTTCTCCTCCACCAGGAGGTGGACCAGCAGCTGCGGGGTCACACTGGTGGTGCAGCAGATTTCCGAGATGGACAGGTTCACCAGGAAGAAATACATGGGGGTGTGGAGGGAGGGGTTCAGCTTGATCAGTAGTACAATGAGCAGGTTCCCCATTAGGGTGAGCAGGTAGGTGAGGAGAAACACCAGAAAGAGAAGGATTTGCAGCTTGTTTAGGGACGAAAACCCCACCAGGATGAGGACACCGATGCCCGTCTGGTTCTCTCCAGAAAGACTCTCCCAATTGGTCATCTGTAGGGGCGACAAAGAACGACACCGAGCATGAGGCAAACCCAGAATGTGGACGTGAATCAAGCTGTGATGGGGGAGGGGTCACAGAAGACCCATTGGGGGAGCCTGCTTTCCGGAAAGCCGACTAAACCATCGACACTCGCCTCCTTGCTCTCTGGGACTTCTTACCACCCGGCCCTACTGGGCCAGATTTCCTGGTGTGACGGTGCGTTGGGGTATTCCCGTCTCCTGCACCCCTGTAATGGCACAGACAGACTCCACCAGCCAGTAGAACAGAGGGAGTTTATTGCTTCTCCAGGATACAACACAGCACAGATGTCATCTGGTTACAGGAACTGGGACTAGGAGACCTCAGTGCCCCCCCTTGAGATGGGGGGTGTCTGGGCCCTACAATCCCAGCCCCCTCCCTAGCTCCTTCTCCCCTGATTCCCAGACAGAAACTAACTCTCTTCCAGCCCTGCCCCCCAGCCAGGGGCCACATTCCACCTTCCTTTGTTTCTCTCCCTGGGGGGGTAGCTGGTCAGACAGGTTGAGAGACCTTCTTTGCATAATGACTGATCCCCTGCCCTGCTAGGCCATGCTACAGCCAGCGGAGGTCACTCACAACCCACTGCCAACATCCAGCAAGGTACCCACACTACGTCACACCTGGTCTCCCCTAGCCAAGGCACAGAGCCAAGATCACACCCCCACCCCAAAAAGCCATACACTCACTGAACCCCTTCAGGTGCGAGGAGAAGGCCGTTTGGGGCCCAGCTTCCAGGAACCCAACCCTCAACTCGGATCAGAACCCCAAATAAACCCATTCCCACCAGGACCTTGATGTGCACCCTGATGTCTCCAGTGATCGACACTGGACTTGAGAGTAAATAAAAGGGATTTTATTAGGGACAAGCAGGAAGGTTTAAGGCAAAGGTTCTCAACTCGTTTCAGTCCATGGACCACCAGGCCAATCAAAAACATTTCATGGACCCCCTCCTTTTTGAGACATGATAAAAAAGAGCAAACAACAAACTTTTTGCTTTGAAATGTATTTCTTACTAACAGATTTTTGGTGCCTGCCCACGCCGTGTGACTTTGGCCATTGTTCCTGTGGGCCACCGAAAAAGTCACCATGGAACACTAGTGGTCCGTGGACCACCAGTTGAGAACCACGGGTTTAAAGGGATTGCAAGAGAGAGCGGAAGAGCAAAGCGAATTAGAAATCGAAAATGACAAGAAAAGCCGAGCTAGTTCTAACACTAAACACTCAGCATAGACACACCCTAAAAATGTTCTTAGGTCACCTACACCTTCAAGCCAGGCAAGATCCTTTTTCCCTGGGGTCTTGGCTTCATTCTCTACGTAGCAACATGCCAGCCAACGACAAAGGAGCAGCATCTTCTCCTTGTTTTATAAGGTTTCATAGATTCCGCTATCGGGCGGGAACTTGGAGTTCTCCTCCCCACCTTCCATGGGAAATTGCCTGGCCAGACCCTACCAGTTGGAGCGATCCCAAGTCTTCCTAAAACTGGACTCTGAATAGATTTAAAGGGCAAAAGAGCCTGTTTACATGCGTTCACACAGACATTGATGGAAACACCCTTGATGACTCTGAATTGCACATTTTAAACCAGAGGTCATTCCATACTCCAGATCTCCAACTTCACACACAAGAGTGATCCATGCGCCAAAATAAGAGACACGGAGCTGGCAGATTGGGAGATTAACATTGACGAGTTCCATTATGTCCAAAGCATCTTCGAGTTACACGCAATTGTGTCCATGGGTCAATGTCATGAACCATGAACAGGAATGGAAGGGGAACCTTAACACAACTGCGCGGTTTCCTTCCCATCGGGGCCCAATCCTCATCAGGCAGCAGCTGATGTCGCTGGGTGTATATGAAGCAAGCTACGGCAGGATAGGTCGGCTGGAGATTTGACTCTGATATAGTAGAGCTACAGCTGGTTTACTCCAGATAGGGAGATGGAGAATTGATCTAAAGTAGCAACATCAGTGCCAATATCAGGAGATCTATTCTTCCTCTTTGAAGATATTTACTTTGCCCCCGTGAAAATTCAAACAGAGACCTTTCTTTCTTTCTTTCTTTCTTTCTTTCTTTCTTTCTTTCTTTCTTTCTTTCTTTCTTTCTTTCTTTCTTTCTTTCTTTCTTTCTTTCTTTCTTTCTTTCTTTCTTTGAATCATGGATTACTAGGACTGGAAGGGAACTCGAGACATCATCGAGTCAAGTCCCCTGCCCTCATGGCAGAACCCAGAACTGTCTAGACCATCCCTGATAGATATTTATTTAACCTGCTCTTAAATATCTCCAGAGATGGGGATTCCACAACCTCCCTGGGCAATTTATTCCAGTGTTTGGCCACCCTAACAAGTAGGAACTTTTTCCTAATGTCCAACCTAAACCTCCCTTGCTGCAGTTTAAGCCCATTGCTTCTTGTTCTATCCTCAGAGGCCAGGAAGAACAAGTTTTCTCTCTTCTACTTGTGACACCGTTTTAGATACCTGAAAAATGCTCTCATGTCCCCTCTCAATCTTCTCTTTTCCAAACTAAACAAGCCCAATTATTTCAGTCTTCCTTCATAGCTCATGTTCTCTAGACCTTTCATCATTCTTGTTGCTCTTCTCTGGACCTTCTCCAATTTTTCCACGTCTTTCTTGAAATGTGGTACCCACAACTGGACACAATCCTCCCACTGAGGCCTAACCAGCGCAGAGTAGAGTGGAAGAATGACTTCTCGTGTTTTTCTCAGAACACAGCTGTTAATGCATCCTAGAATCATGTTTGCTTTTTTTGCAACAGCGTCACACTGTTGACTCATATTTAGCTTGTGGTCCACTCTGACCCTTAGATCCCTTTCTGCCGTACTCCTTCCTAGACAGGCGCTTCCCATTCTGTATGTATAAGACTGATTGTTCCTTCCTACATGGAGCATTGCTCAGTGAGGAGGGGGAAATGGTAACAGGAAACTTGGAAATGGCAGAGATGCTTAATGACTTGTTTGTTTCGGTCTTCACCACGAAATCTGATGCTGAAGGAATACCTGACATAGTGAATGCTAGTGGGAAGGGGGTAAGTTTAGAAGATTATAAAAAAAGAACAAGTTAAAAATCACTTAGAAAAGTTAGATGTCGGCAAGTCACCAGGATCTGATGAAATACATCCTAGAATACTCAAGGAGCTGATAGAGGAGGTATCTGAGCCTCTAGCTCTCATCTTTGCAAAATCATGGAAGATGGGAGAGATTCCAGAAGATTGGAAAATGGGAGATATAGTGCCCATCTATAAAAAGGGAAATAAAAACAACCCAAGAAACTACAGACCAGTCAGTTTAACTTCTGTGCCAGGAAAGATAATGGAGCAAGTAATTAAAGAAATCATCTGTAAACACCTGGAAGATGATAAGGTGATAGGGGACAGCCAGCATGGATTTGTAAAGAACAAATCACGTCAAACCAATCTGATAGCTTTCTTTGATAGGATAACGAGTCTTGTGGATAAGGGAGAAGCGGTAGACACGGTATTCCTAGACTTTAGTAAGGCATTTGAATGGTCTCGTATGATATTCTTATCTATTAACTAGGCAAATACAACTTAGGGGAGGCTATTATAAGGAGGGTGCATAACTGGCTGGATAACCGTTGTCAGAGAATCGATATTAACGGTTCACTAACCTCCTGGAAGGGCATAACAAGTGGAGTGCTGCAGGGGTCTGTTTTGAGACCGGGTCTGTTCAAAATCTTCATCAACAATTTAGCTATTGGCATAGAAAGTACGCTTATTAAGTTTGCAGATGATATCAAACTGGGAGGGGTTGCAAGTGCTTTGGAGAATCGGATCATAATTCAAAATGATCGGGACAAACTGGAGAAATGGTCTGAGGTAAACAGAATGAAGTTGAATAAGGACAAATGCAAAGTGCTTCACTTAGGAAGGAACGATCAGTTTCACACATACAGAATGGGAAGCGACTGTCTAGGAAGGACTACGGCTTAAAGGAATCTAGGGGATATAGTGGACCACAATCTAAATATGAGTCAACAGTGTGATGCTGTTGCAAAAAAAGCAAGAAGAACCATTTAATTCCTTCCTGCCTCTTTCATCGCACCACGCTGAGTGCATTGCTGTCTACCTGTCTACAAAACATACTTTTTTTTTTTACTTCAAGTTCTTTGTAGAGAGGGAACTTCAAAAAAACTGGCAGGACATGGACTTGAGAGATGGGGAATTACAGTGAGCGATAACATGTATTGTATTTTCCTACTTTTCGCATCTTCCATATGGGGCTCTCAAAGCATCAGATACTAGCACGCTCCTCAGCAGGCGGGAGAAAATTTGTTCTTCCTGGCCTCTGAGGATAGAACAAGAAGCAATGGGCTTAAACTTCAGCAAGGGAGGTTTAGGTTGGACATTAAGAAAAATTCCTAACTGTCAGGGTGGTTAAACACTGGAATAAATTGCCTAGGGTGGTTGTGGAATCTCCATCTTTGGAAATATTGAAGAGTAGGTTAGATAAATCTCTATCAGGGGTGGTCGAGACAGTATTGGGTCCTGCCTTGAAGACAGGGGACTGGACTCGATGACCTCTCGAGGTCCCTTCCAGTCCTAGTATTCTATGAATTGGACAAGGAGTCCGCATTTCCAGAAATAGGAAGTGCAAAGAAGGCACCAGACCCACAAACACACAAACTCAATGGGAGGCTCAGAGAGAGAGAGAGTGAAATCAAAGCACCAAAGCAAAGGCAAATGCCAACTGCCGGGCCCAGAACTATATGAAAAAACAGGGACTGATTTTCTCATGCAAGGAAAGCTGGAGGAGAGGAGAGAATTCTCCTGCCTCTCGTAAGAGCTACGTGGGGGGATCTAGATCGGCCTTTGCGAGTGCTTTCCTCAGCACGACCATAGCAGGAAACGGTCCACGGTTCGTTCTCTTTTTTCCTCGGCAGGAAAAGGCAAAAGAGCGCTCGACTGACATTCGATTCCGAGGGATCGATATAGA